AAACTCTATTTTCTGTAGCAATTTATGTGTAAAATGTACAAATGGAAACTGTAATAATTGGAATGAGCTAAAATAAAACGACGATCATTTAGAAAGTAAATCCTACATTTACCTACAAGACAATTTTGAATCACTACAATAATGCGTTTTTATTATGTGAGATGTTCTTTGAATTAAATAATGGAAAATAGTGTGAAATATAATTACTTCACAAAATTTGAGAATTAAAAAATAGGTTTTTTTAAAGAATTCTTGAATAAATATTTACATTGATAATTTGTTTATTTTAATGTTTTTTTATGAATTTATACATTTATTAGTAATTTTAACCCACAAAAATTTAATATTTTACAATTTTTTTTATAAGATGTTTAAACAAATTAGATAATTTATCTAAATAATTACTAATTAACAAGTTACATATTCGTATTGCACGCAATGATTTAATACAATTTAAAAAAAGAATCATTAAAATCCATTGAAAAGTTCCAGAAATAAAATTTCTACATCATGTTAACTCTTAAATTTTTTGGCTCCAAAAGTTTTATTCTGAACAGACAAAATTTTAGCAGCGTTTTTGAAGCTCCACCAGTTATTGTGTTTAATTGCTACCATTCTAATTTTTTATATACAATAAATTTACTTTCTTTTGTTCAAAATGGCATTTTTAGGTTCGTTAATTATTACAAACAAATAGGTTATAAGCATTTAAAAAAAATTGCTAACTTTGGTCCATGTCAAGCTAGGACCAATTTTTTAAATTTAAAATGAGCGTGAAAATGTCAGCTATTTAGCTAATAAAAAATTACTATTTTACAAGCAATGACAAAAAAGTGATTCTATTTGTTTATAAGCTAAAAAATACAGTAATTGTTCAATGAAATTTTGCGATGCTAAATTTTATTTTTGTTTATGTCTAATAATATATTTTATTCACTTATATATACTTATATTCACTTATATAACAATTCCAATTTTGCAAAAACTATTAGACCGATTGACTTAAAATTTTAAGCAATTATTGAATACTAAAAACTACATCTTTTTACAAAGTAACCAAGTCGTAGGTTATTTTTTAAAAAAATTGTCGATTATTTAATAACTTATCAAATTTAACAGTTTCTTGCAATTTTCGTAACAACAAATAAGTATTCTCAATTTTAAAAACCGTCATTTTTAGGGTTTTTGTATACACTTCAAACTGCTTATTCCAAATTTTATATCAACTATCTTGATTTTGAAATAGAGCCAAAAAGTAGAAAATAGAAGTTTTTTGCACTTAATTGTTAATAACTTTCATTTTGCAGCGTAATTTTGGTTGCGAACTATTAGGTTTTATTATTGGATTCCAAAAACACCAGAAACACTAGGTGGCTATCTGTTACTTTGGATGGTCACAAAAACCTCCATTTCCCTAGTCTATTATACTAGGAAAGCAAACCTATAAAAGATTTCTATAAGTAATAATTTGGATAATAACCAGTATTATTTCCACAGTTTAGCAACATTAAACTTGTACATAGTTTGTAAAAGAAAAATACTTTTTAACGAGATGTTTTAAAGTTTCAAAATTTTGTTAACTTAAGTAGGTTTTAAGTAGTGAAAGTTTTTAAAAGGTACCGAAATATATTGGACTACCTGGATTTTTTATCGAGATACTGATTTGAATTGTGAATTATGTAAACAAATAGACAATTATTTTAATCTATACTTTTTTAATAAATGATGGCATCCTTTAATTAATATATTATTTTTTTGAAATAAATAAAAAGTACAAAAAACTATTTTTGTTTGATTTTTTTTATTTGCAAATACATTGTTTTCTTGTTTAAGTACCCACTATTTACGTTTCCTATAAGAAAATGTACATTTTGTGGTAGGTGTCTTTTAAATAAGTGTAAACATTTAGTAATTATTAAAAACATAAAAGTTTATACGATTTCCAATATCCTTTTCCAATACTACCTCCTATAGTCTTATACGCCGTTTTTGGGAAATATTTATTGACATTTGCCACTTCGGTTTTGTCATTTGCAACGGATTTTTATAGTTTTGTCCTGCAATCGATTAAATTGAAAACTTAGCTAGATGATGTATTAAATTATAGAGAAGTAACAGCGCTGAAAATAGCAACATATTAAATATATGTAACTCTAAGTTAAGTCTTTACCTAATTTAATATTTTCATACCTTAGAGTTCATATTATTCTATAGGATGTTATTTTTATTAAATTTTCCATTACATTTAAGAATTTAGGTCGAAGGTTTGCTTTCAATGCTTCGTAGGAAGTGCCTAACACGAAAGTATGAGAATTTCGGAAACATACACTAGCTTTTCATTTATTAATAAATATATTTTAGTAACGCTTATTTTAATGCGCAATAAAAATAATATCAGGCAAATACGAATGTGGCCAAAACGATAGATAGTATCTTTAAAAATATGTAAATATACATATTATGGTTTAAAACTTGACTAATTTTTACAACACTACACTACACTCAGATGTAGTCAGTGGCGCTCCATATTGCATAGGCTCCCTAGCTAAAACTAATGATTTAAGATAAAATTTTGCAAACCATTTAAATAACGACTTTTTTTTCCTTAACAAAAAGGAACCGATTAGAAATTTCAAAATCTAGTCGCATTTGACATATGAAATAAATGTACTCAATCTAATAAATATTCGATTTTTGGTAATATTTGTCTATGATCGCTATAAATTTGAAATATTAAGGAAAACACATTTTGTAATTTTTTATGGCATGATTGGCGGTTGAACCTTCAACGGTAATATATTTATAATACAGATTTCATAACTTAACGGCTTGAGTAACAATTAATTAACATATCTGATATGCCATCTTGTGTGCCGGCCAATTAGGGTTAACAAATGTTTTTAGCTTTTTTAGAAAATTCTAATATTTTAAAAAGGCTTTTCGGTTTGGAATTCGAAACGTCATTGTAAAAAAATGTAATTTTAATTATAATTAATCTGGCTTATTCCCATAAATATATTTTCTGTTACTTTTGAGTATTTCAGTTTTTCTTTTTTCAATACTATTTACAAATTCAGCCAGAAAAAAAATAAATTATGTATTAATATTTATTTAGTTATCGCACCTAACGCATAATATATCTTAAATAATCATTTTTTAAAATACGTACTTCTGCCGGAGCTAAAATATACGAACATATAATAATAGATAATGGCAACATCGCAGGACGCTCTATCGTCTATTAAATGAACGCAAAGTGTATATAGGGACGCTTTATTGGCGGTTAGATGGATGATTTTTATATACACTAGGACGCCTTATTGGCGGGAAATGTGATGGACGCTCCATTGATGATCAAATGTACAATTATCAGTTTTTTCTTGCAAAACATTTTTGAAACATATTACTCATATAGAGTATATTACTTGTATAGGAGAAAAAAAGCTGTTCTTACTGTTTTTTAAAAATCGGACGCTCTATACATGGAGAGTGTAAAGACGCTCTAATGATAGCGGATGTATAGATTTATATATATATTATATATATATATATATATATATATATATATATATATATATTATATATAGTATGTATAAACTTTGAAAAATTAAAGGCTGATATCGAGCACAATTTTATTCATCAAATCTTGCCCAAGTATTTTCGCTTTTTAAAGCGTCATCAGGGGCATTTCGTCAAATTTGGGCTATCCAGCAAGCGCAGAATGTAATAAACATGAAAATAAAACATCAATTGTACATAACAGTAAACTAAACAAGTACAAACAGTCTAAAATTATTTAAAAATTATTCGACGCTACATTCTTGTCGGCAACAGGAGAGAGATTTAATAGTCTCTCTCCTATTGCCTTCGAAAAGGCCTTTGACCGAGTAAACCATAACAAAGTTATAGGTGTCTTGCAACAGGTGGGAATTGATGACCGAGACCTCCGTATTATCAAAAATTTGTATTGGTATCAATGTGCAAACATACGAGCTGGACACAACACGACGGACGCAGTGGAAATACGACGTGGAGTGAGGCAAGGATGTATTCTATCGCCTCTACTTTTTAATATCTACTCTATCTATTTTCTATTATAATATCTATTTATTTTCAAAGAAGCCTTAGTTGAAGATGCAGGCATTACAATCAACGGAATTAATGTCAACAATATCAGATATGCAGACGACACGATACTTATTGCCTCCAATCAAGAAGACCTGCAACTACTTATAAACAGGGTAACCGAAGCATGTGATGAATATGGGCTAAAACTTAAAACTGCTAAGACAAAATTTATGGTTGTCAGCAAAACGGAGTTACAACCAACGAACATCAGAGCGTATGGAATAGAGTTAGAAAGAGTCCACAATATTACCTACTTGGGTGCAAACGTTAACGATAACTGGGATATAAATAAAGAAATAAGAATACGCATTGAAAAAGCAGAGCCGCCTTCTATAAATTAAAGAAAATTCTAATTAATAGAGATATTACGTTAAACCTTAAAATCAGATTAATACGCTGCTACATATTCTCCACATTGCTGTATGGTATGGAGAGCTGGACCCTTACAGAGACATTAATGAAAAAATTAAAGGCCTTTGAGATGTGGATTTATCGACGAGTATTGCGGATAAGTTGGGTTGATCGAATAAGAAATGAAATAGTTTTACATCGAATGAAAAAGAGCACAGAAATAACAAAAACGATAAAAATTCGAAAGTTACAATATTTCGGTCATGTAATGAGACATCCAGAGAGGTATAACCTCACACCTCATAATACAGGGTAAGATCGCCGGAAGGAGAGGCCCAGGCCGACGAAGAACATCCTCGCTCCGAAATCTCCGAGAATGGTATCAAGAAACCACCGCTAATTTATTTAGAGCCGCCGTAAATAAAGTTATTATTGCCAATATGATCGCCAACGTTCGATAATCGGACAGGGTACTGAAAGAAGAAGACACTATTAGAATCTACAATAAAACCATAAATATCTCTAAAAATAGTTACTTTATTAAAATAGGTTTATTTCAAACTGCAAAACATTATCTCTATTGATGAAGTAAATTTAAATATTTCAGTCAGAATCATCGGATGAGTCACTACTCACTGGTTTTCTCTTTTTTCTTCCTCTTGTTTTCTTTGCAGAACCTTGTAAAGGTCGTTTTTTGGTCGATTTGGGTACAGGTGGCGGCGGCATTGCACCATCTTCTTGCAATTCGAATACCGATTTTATGGCTGTCTCTAGCTCTGTAGCCATTCCCTACAATCACAACATGGGTTGGTTATAAAAATTGTGAAATAAAATAAGTAAATTATTATGATAATAATAGTATTAACAGTAATGATAGGATAAGCAGCTAATATCGAATATTCGGTTAAGTTCTTGGCCGACGCGCCTAATATTCGGCAAAAGATATAATGCGTGACAGGTCACGTTTTATTCATTCATTGCAACAGACTATCAAGGAATCGCTAAAATCTCAAACAGCAATAACTTAACTTAGCAAATTAGCAACTAGTACAAAAAGTAGGCATACGCTGAAATTTTACCCATTAATCAATAGAGCAATTATTAGAACAAAAGCGAACTGTCTCTTTGTATATAATAGATCACGAATCTTTAAATATTTAACAAGTTCTCAGTAGGAGTTAACGGAACAATTTATTAAGATTGAGATAGAGTAAATGGAGAAGTAGTTGAAAATTTCAGGGTTACCAAGACAAGGCTACCAACTTATTCCCATTTTGATCAAAATATATGGCGAAGTAAAATGCGAAAAGCCATTAACGGATGGAATAGTGGCATTGCGGTGAAATAAGAATGAACAAATTATTACAAAACATTGAAATAATCAGCACAAGGGTAGGTCTTAAAATAATCAGTAGAAATTAATATAGCTGTTGCCGATTAATTTATCTATCTAGGACGGTGAAATACATTAACGAAAATCTGGAAAAGTCATAAAATAACCATCAACCCCAACATAACAATATTTTTCTTGTTTTTCAGTATGCTGCTGAATGCTGGACTCATAAGGAGAGTAGTAAAACGCTCATAGGCGCGTTCCAAATAATCTGTTTGAGACGAATGATTATAATCCCCTTGGCGACCGGAATAACAAATGAGTCAAGAACATCAGCTAAAGATGTTCACGCAACAGAACAAATAGTAGGTTATTTTGGGTACGTATTTTGAAGTATTAGTTTTAAGAAACTTGCCATACAGGGACAAGTCGAACGAAGAGGTACAGCAAATCAACCAAACGGTACACGGTCCACATTATCATAGTTCCGCTCTCAGAATGTGCGAGAATGCTGAAGACATATGGAAGAATGTCAGGGAAGATCAACTTATGAAGTCATGATAGCACTACTCGTTCTGTGTAGCTGACAGGAGGGCATATATGAGGGAATATAAAGCGCTCATATCGGCCAAATTTGTCATTAGCGTAAGGTCCGCTTGTCATTATGCTAATTTCAGTACTGATTTCAGTACTAAAAATGAGTTAAAAGTCGATTTAGTATGAAAAATGTGGGTTTGTGTTTGCAACTATCTTAATTTTGTTTTATGATTAGAGTAAACTAAACACACAGGTAAATAATGATGGCGAAAAAGAAGTTAAAATTATGTGCAGTAGCTTTAATTGTAATATTGATGCCAAAGAAAAAAAATCAAACACTGCTTTAAAAATGCGTATATGCAAAGGAATATTAAATATGTTGAATGAAGAATAATTAGTAGATGTATATAAAAACTTTTTACGAATGAATAATAATTTGTTTAAAAAATTGTTCTCACACCAGTTGAGAATAACCTCACTTTTAATTATTATTACATCATTTTTAGTACAAAAAAATAGAACAGGCTCTACTGAATCGGCGCGCGCATCCAATTTTGTTGATACAATATTTTTAGTATTAAATTCAGTACTAAATTTAGCATAATGGCAAGCAGACCTAAGGTTTTTATAGCTTATAATTTTATATTATAATTCCACGAGGAAACTAAGTTCCTGTAGCTGGCTGTATACCATATATCACAAAAAAATTTGTTAAAATCCTTTATAAAAGGTATATAAAATTGCCTCAAACGGCTATCACAAACACATTGCAAAACGTTTTCGGATTAAACAATCCATCATCAGTGCAAACGGTTGTACATGCTAGTAGCCACCAAAATATGTGGGTAAAAACCCCTTAAAAGTTATAAATTTGAAATTGTTTTACATTATTAGTGTTTCTAATTTGTGATGGTTAAGTTACCGTTGGATAGGTAACATGGTGGCGTATGACTCTACATGAGTAAAATGGAGGCATTTTACTCATGTAGAGTCATACGCCACCATGTTACCTATCCAACGGTAACTTAACCATCACAAATTAGAAACACTAATAATGTAAAACAATTTCAAATTTATAACTTTTAAGGGGTTTTTACCCACATATTTTGGTGGCTACTAGCATGTACAACCGTTTGCACTGATGATGGATTGTTTAATCCGAAAACGTTTTGCAATGTGTTTGTGATAGCCCGTTTGAGGCAATTTTATATACCTTTTATAAAGGATTTTAACAAATTTTTTTATATTATAATTGTTCAAAACGATACTATGTAATATTTGTTGCATCCCAAACTGCTAAGAGTATAGTAAAACGAGGTTGCATTTTTTTATAGATTTCCGAGTCAAAATCATAAAAAGCATCAATGTGAACTGTGAATTGCAGCTATAAAGTCTAATTTATATAGAAAGAAACTTTTATGTAATAATTACTGTAAGTCCAGGTCCATATATTTTTACAACGTATTAACTAGTTTTATAACACTTTTCCATAAGTCAATAGCAGTATTATTATAATATAATTTATATATTTACAATAGTAAATACGCATTTACAATTGCAAATGTGAGGTTAAAATTAGGATCACAAAAAAATCAATATTGAAATGATTACTAAAATTCGTTTTAAGGACAAATAAACTGAAATTATATAAAAATTGGTTTAATAAATATAAAATATATAAATTGCTATTAGTTTATTGTTAAAAAAAAACAAAATAAGCTAGTAAAATGTGTTTAATATATATATATATATATATATATATATATATATATATATATATATATAAATCTAACTTATGTGTTTGTTAAAAATATAAAAATTTTGAACTGCCAACAAATATATTTATAATACATAAATACTACGATGATGTTATTTATATATAATTAATTAATATACTCGTACAGACAATATTTACGATTAATTACAAATTTTTGATATTATTACTACAGATTTATAAATGTTTTCAACGGTGTAAACCTTATGGTGATAATATCATAACCAATAGAGGGCGATACTTGTTCAGCTGCACGGAGCGAATACTTCATTAAAGATGTGCTATCGCAACCAAAAAGGAAATCGATTTATACAAGAAGCGGCAACAATGCAAAAGCTCTGAAGCAAGTTTAGTTATACAACATAAGGAAAGGTGGAAACTGGAACAACAAACTTCAAAATAATCGGGAAAAATCATAGGGTAATTACCAGCCCGAAGTATAATTCTGTACAAAAGATAGAACATTGTAACAAATATGCTTGCGTTACGTCACTGGTCCAAAAAACCAGATTTAATGATAGAAAAAATAAGAACACCTAGAATTAATGAAACAACGCATAGAATAAGACAGAAACATCGAAACAAACAAAAAGAAGAAGCAAATAAATTCTGGACCACCCTTAGTAGTATATAAGGTTATGCGCTCTGTCATTTTGGAATTAGTTTGAAATGTCTTAAAAGTCAATTTCAGTTGAGAAAAATTATATAGAATCATTTTCTAATTTTTTTGTATATTGAAGAAGATAATAAAGTATATTAAATAAACATTATATATATATATTATATATATATATATATATATACATATATATATATATACATATTATTATATATATATATATATATATATATATATATTATATATATATACATATATATATATATACATATATATATATATATATATATATATATATATATATATACATATATATATATATATATATATATATATATATATATATATATATTATATATATATATTATAAATATATATATATATATATCCGGTTTTTTTAGGCGTTACGCCCGTCCGGTAGGGATCTATGGAGGAGTATCACCGAGCCGCAAGCCCTTATCTCTTGCCGTACTGCTCCACCATAGGCCGATCAGATCCCAGCATATTCTAGTCTAAGCCGCAGATTCATCTAGAATTTTAAACTGCTGCGTTAGACTTTTTGTTTTCTGTACACCGAGCTGGGGCTCGATGATCCCACATCCACTGAGCCATTCGACTATTAAATAAACATATATATATATATATATATATATATATATATATATATATATATATGTATATATATATATATATATATATATATGTATATATATATATATTTATATATGTATATATATATATATATATATATATATATATATATATATATATATATATGTATAATATAAAATTAATGTTTCTTGGGTTTAGGTTCAATAAAGATATGTTACATGTGGAACTAGATTTTATTTTCCATTGCAATCAATCAACGTTTCGGTAGGAAACCCTTGCCTTTGTCAAGATTCAAAACGTAAAACGTGACACAGACATTAACGAACTGAGTCAGTTGAGCTGGGTTGATTTGTTGCTGGATGTAGAAAATATACTTTATTGGAATTAATCGATAAATCAACTCCCAAGTTGTTTAACCATGCTAATATTTGATGCTGCACCATCAAACGTTAAACTGGTAATTGTGACATCAGCTTAGTGCATTATTTTTAAGCACATTTTTATTAGATTACTTTTTTGAACACCTGAGAACCCAGCGATTAAAAAGTAGCCTATCGGCAGCTTTCCCGTTTTTTCCTTAAGATGTTCTAATAAAGATTTTAAGGTATTTACTTTTTTAATAAGCCTTCTATTTCGTTGTTGAAACATTTTGATTAGTTTATTTTTCTTTTGAATTAATTTGTTTACTACTACTTTATTACCCTGGTCTCTGTTAGATGATCCTTGTTCAAAGTCACCAAGATAATGTCTTCGCTTTTTCAACGAAGGTTCTAAGGTAGTTTCGTCTGAAATTTCTACAGGAGTCTTTATGGTGGTAGTTTCACTGGTTATATTCATATTTTCCCTTTTAGATCCTGATGGTTTGACTGAGACAGTTTCTTTTTCTTTTGGAAATTTGCTAGTTGTAACTTGCTTAATTAAATGGTTTGGAAAATCGAAAATCCTGGGTACAGCATCTTTTGTTAGTTGTTTTTTTGAACTCCAACCGCTAGTAATATACGAATCCGCTGTGAAATGTTTGGAGCAAATTTTAGAACTCTTTGTTGGTTTAAAATTTTCACGGCGCATCGCTATAATCCATTTTTTTGCAATGATGAATCTTTAGTAAATCTAAAACAACTGATTTATTTAATCCTTTAGTTTTCAATCTAATTATAAAATAAAAATTATATATAAGACTATCTCTCATATGTATCTATTTAAAACACTTTGGGAGGAAAAAGTAAAAGAATAGGTGCTAAATTTCTGGTATTTTTTCAAGTTTATTTGTGAATTTATTTACCCATTAAATGATATATCTGTCCCTTTTTTTTGTCGCTGCGTACAATTAAATGCACTGCAAGATGACACCATAATTAAAATATTATTGTATTGGTACCGTTTCTGCCGCAAACTGACGTCACCCACAGCTGTGTGAATTTTTTTATGTTGGCTTCACTCTTCGAGACGAGAGAATAGCATTAACGACGTGTCTATTAGTTTTTATGGTCTAAGACCATACATTTCCAACGTTAAAAAGACTTTTTTTGCACATAGTAAAAAGAACACCACTATGTTGTTACTAGCTAAGTTTTTTTACATCTTAACTCGGCAATTCTAAGTTACGGTAAGATTAATATTTTTTAATAGATAATATACGGAAACAATTGATACTCATTAGAGTTTTTCCTTGCAGATTTCTCCAATATTTAAGAGTTTACTATATATATATATATATATATTATATATATATATATATATATATATATATATATATATATATATATATATATATATATATATATATACCGGGTGGTGAATCGTCAAACGGGCCATAGGAAACTCAATGGGAAATTTTAAATTGTTGAATTGCTGCTTCCCTAATTATTTTAGATCAAAAGTCATAAAAAACTATTTGTAGAGGACTAAATTCTAAATTAAAGACAAATGTTAAAACCGTTCTACGAATCAAATGTACTTCAAAATTTTGCAAAAATATAATACATTTTTCAAACAACCCCTAAAAGTTATTCCAATACACTAAAATTTAATTCCATGTTAAGTTAAGTTATACAACAATTCAATGAATTCCAATATACTGTTACTGTGATCTTTATTCCTAATAATAATATACGATAATTTCTAAACATAAAACTATAACAAATGTTATAATAAAACATGAATAAAACATTTTTATTATTGCTCTTTTCTCCTTAACTGAGTACATTTTTTAATCAACTTAATTTTTCTTTTAAATAATAAATCACAAAATTTTGGCCATTTAAATCATAGATAAATATAATATAGTTGATTTAAATATTGTCAAATATTATAAACGTCAATATGACAAAACGCAACACGTAATACACATTCTTTTCACGGCGTCTGGCCTGACTTTTAGGGGTGGCCTGAAAAATGTATTATATTTTAGCAAAATTTTGGAATACGTTTAAGTCGTAGAACAATTTTAACAATTGTTTTCGATACATATTTGAGTCCTCTACAAATAGTTTTCCAAGACCTTTGGTGTAAAATAATTAGGGAAGCAGGAATTCAACAATTTAGAATTTCTCATTGAGTTTCCTATGGCCCGTTTGACGATTCACCACCCTGTATATATATATATATATATATATATATATATATATTATATATATATTACATATATTAAACATGTACATTAAACATAAACTTATTTATTCACGTGTTTAAATTAAAATTTTATAGCATTAAAGTTAAATATTAGTTAATACTAGGCCAAACTAGAGCATTAAAAAAGTAAGGTTTTCTGGGATTTTCAGAACTCACTTCAAAATTATACGCTTTGCAATATAGAGATGAATCTGTAGTTGAATCCTGACAAATTACAAACATTAAAGAATAAATCGTGGTTAGACAAATACTGACCTTCAGATCTACTTTTCCCGCTTGCTGTTTGCTGCAATTTTGTATAATCGTTCTGAAATTGCCATATACTTCCTCGTCGTGAACTAAATGTTTATAACATGGGAATTCTTCAATTAATCTTCTCAGTGCTTTGTCATTATACTTAATTAATGTGAGGCAGTAAGATATGTTTCTATGCTGATGATTGTCATCTGTACACTGTAATTTCGTGCAGAACCTGGCGACGATGTTTTCCATATGTTTCGGATTTTCCAACATGTCGAATAGTACTCTATCAAAAATAAAACCAACATTAACATGTACAAAGATATATAAAATTTATATATACTCACTTTAATGTGTTCTTCATTTCCTCTTCATCTATCTTTAATTCTACGAAATGAGAAAATATATCCGGAAGGGCGTTGTATAGGTTATTCTCCTTATGTGAAAGCTTTAGGAAGAACGTCTTGCACATGATGCGTAGATCTTCGTCTTGGTTAGCTAGGCAAGCGGCCATCTTTGGTATGTGGCTGTGTGCTCGAATCATATCACTCAAAATAAGTTTTGATAATATGAAGAACGAGGAGCGACGAACTTCGGCAAGTGGGTCGTTAAGACTAACAAAAATATTTATTTATTACTATCTTTACCAATTCATACATTAGTAAATGGGTAAAATTCAACTAAAATTGGTTAATATATAAAGAAGACTAGTGCAATTATACAAATTTACATTGGACTATTATAAACTTATATATGTACACTTCATTTGGTATTGATCGAGAGAGAGAGAGAGTTAAAATTCAAATTATGTTTCAAAACTCTTACAACGTGGACAAAACGTCTAAGTTTTTATAAACATTTACAAAACAATTCGTACCAAGCTTTTTTATCGCCTTGTTCACTTTGTAAAAGGTGTAAATACAATGTAAATATATTTGTACAAATTATTATTAACGTGATATATCGTAGCTCAATGGTTGGCCACTATTTTCTATTGCATTATTTCTCAAGTGTTCCAGAATTATACAATACTATTCACCACAAAGTGCCGAAGTAAATAAAGACTTTCTTCAGTCTCTAATTTTCCAAGCAATTTTCTTTACACCATTTATCGGTAGTGACCTTAAAGTAAACTTATTTATCGAAAATATTTTATCGCTAACGGTAATAAATAAACCACATATAGTGATACAAACGTATAAAAAGGAAATTTTCAATGAATAGTTAAAATCGCGGAAAAGTTATTTACAGCTTGATTTAAATTCTACACAGCCTTCTAAAACTTCATTGAGAATCAAGCGAAGCTTCAAGCATAAGAAACCTTGCAGTTGAACGTGAGTTTTGTAGTTACTAAAGGCACAGTATAAAGCTCATTAGGTTACTAACTTTTTGCTAACTACAAAGTCTAGATAGAAAAAAAAAATATGTTGCATTTGATGGCAGCTATATTATATTGTATTCAAATTCTTCTGGATATTACCCTTTCCCTTTATTATGTCCCTTTCCATCGTACCTCTTTGTAGCTTTTATGTCCATATTCAATTTATTAAAAGTATCTACGAGGCATCTCATCGCTCCTGTAGTGTACAATGTTCTCACATTCCATAATCGCAATTGAATATCCTTTTTTCGTTTGCCAGATTGACAGTTGGCAACTCTACCGTGTCATGTCAGTTTTATTCAATGTAGAAGTGGAATATTTTTTATAACGTTCTTTGCCAATTTAAGCTGGATTGTCTTAAAATTCATTTATATTTTTAAATCTTTTCTTGAGGTGAGTACATTTCATATTTCTAATTGATCAATTTTGTTTGGTATCTGTCTTATTATAGTTTCCTATATTTGACTTGTGTTTTTTACATAATCTCACACCCATGTGTATCTTTTCAAATCAATATGCAGTTATAAACTTTTATATAATTTAACTAATTCATTTAGTAATAATTATATTCATTTAGCCCTTGCCAATTTGCTTTTTTCTATTTAATATTGTAATTATTTGTAATCTTCATATGGCAAGGAAATATTTTAAAATGTATGCAGTCACTAACTCAAAGTTTATTATTTTAGTTTTTTGGCATTATCAATTTTTTCTTTTCCACTTTTTTGTGTGACATATCGAAACCAAATAGGTGGAACTTCCTGAACCTCGTTCAGGACTTTCCAAAGCACATGGTTACCCATGCGATAACAACTGTAGCAGCTATTCAGAACTCAACGGCCACCTAAAGATATATACATGCAAGTATCTAGATTCAGCTACATCTGAAACCAAAAATTATATTCTATAATCTTGTCCAAGTACTTGAAGACAACAATATTTGCCATTAGAATCATTTTAAAAAATTTTTAAAGCTATAGGCAAGATTTGCTTTGTTTTTGATTTAATATAAATTTTTATATTTTGTATGTACAATAAATATGATTCGTTAATATCTTGGTTTATTTGTCCCAGCCAAACTCATTTTTCAGATTAACTTCTAAGATAAGAAGTTCCCACAACTGGGAGACTGAGCTAGACGAGGCCTAACAATTGGTTCACAAAGAAAGTTTTATAATTATACATCGGTTTCCAACTTTCAGAGGTAGTCAGATTGTTACCCAGCGCACACAGTTTCTGATACGTTGTTCGATGGTTACAAGGTTTTGGTTGCTTTACGGACCCACCACTTCCTTTCATGTATAAACTGGTAGATGATGAACTTTCCAATTCCGTTTATCTTTGAACATATTTCAACGGTATAATCGACATTTTTTGTAACATTTTGTGTTAAAGTCGTTTAAATACGTACACTACACTTTATTTAACACTAGATAAGATATAGACGTTTGTTATTTATCAAGGCACGAATTAGAATGTTTTTTGACCATGTAACGTCAACGTCGCACAAATGATAATTAGATAATTACTGAACGGAAGCAATGGAAATTTCCAATGAAAAATTCCTTTGTACTGGTATCCTTATATCACATATAAGCTTTACCTACTAAGAAAATAACATTGCCGTATAAAATTATTATTAATGGATATTTAATAGTTTCCCTTTTGAGGGTTGTAATAATCTAATTCTACCATTTGCATATTAACTGAGGACAATAGCCAGTTTATTACTTTTTCTTCTTCTGTTCTTTAAATCATTATACTGCATTTTATGTCATTTTCCAGAATTCTGACCATTTTTCATAAGAAATATTTTGTTTCGGTACTTTATTCTTTATTTTATTATTTAGTTCTGCAATTACAGATTTATACATTAATATAATGAATCGTACCCCTATAAACAGGTACGCCTACGTTAGGATCACTTGTCAGTGATTTATTTTACTCACTCGGTACCAAATAAAGTTAACAAGAAAGTCGAAACGAATATTTTAAAATATGGAAATACTAACCTATGGAAGAGTCTGTCCGTCCAAGGCTCAACGATATTAGGAAACCTTGTTAACAAATCTGACAGATGCAACAAAATAGTTCCTTTAATGCTAGGATACTCGGTCTTTTCGAAAATTGTAAACATTAGTCTTATATGTTTTCTACAGAATTCACTAGATACTAACATATACCTAGAAAGGCAAAATGTACATTTAGTAACTTAAAAAAGGATTATATGAATATGTATGTACCAAATTTATTTCATCTTTGAACAAACCTTGATAAGGCAACGACGCCGGCGAACTGCAACTCTTCTGATCTGTATATATCTGGCCTTTCGCATACCTGTAGAATATTCAGTGCCATCTGGGATAAAAATCCAGAACCAGTGACTATGTCCTTTTCCAAGATATTTAAAATAAAGTCTGCGTCCGTATCTTCTGCTTGTGCTCCTTCTAAGACAGTATCATCGTTCTGTAAAGTAATTTAAATAAATTGAAACGTAGAGAGTTCTAACAAAAAGGGAAGAGTCCACCTAGTTCAGTCAACGAAGGTTTTTACTTCTAAAACTTCAGAAACCCGTTTTTACTAAATGTTTTTGATTTGAAATAATAAACAAAGAAATTTAATAAAAGTAAATTAAAAATCTGATCTGCCCTGAAAGATTAAAAAGTTTCTAAGGATTTTTATTTCTAATTTACTATACTAGATAGTATAAAGAACTTCTTACCGTGGTATGTGATGCTTCAGCAGCAGTTGTAGCTGTTAATGACCTGTTCTTATCCTTTTTCTTTTTTGTCGTTTTTCCCACGTTCGACGACTTTTTTCTCTCGTCTCGTACATTCTGTCGTCTTTTCAGTTCTTTGTACACGGTGTCGTCCATGTATTCCAATTGTTTGAGAGCTATGTAACCGCACATCTGACACAACCGTATCAAAGCGTACTGGGGGACTTCCAATTCGGGATTGTCTGATAGTTTTTTGTTTAGTTTTGGGGCCACAGAGCTTAGTAGTTGTTCGGCAAAGGTTTCAGGTTTAGAACTTAGCTGAAAATTATTGAAATATTTAAAACTGAAAACATTTAAAAAATCAAATTAACAAATTACTATAGTTTACAGGATTGAAACTCCAAGAAATGAAAATAAAACTGATATATCTTACAACGATGTAAAGTTTAGTCTCTCGCACGCACTGTTTTTTTTAGGGTCACAACTACAATGATAAAAATATTAGAGAAGAAAAACTTTAAGAAGTATTTAAAGTATTTCTGTGCAGCTAAATGCCCTTGAATGAAAAATGGACCAACAATGTGTGGCTCAACGATTTATGGAGAAATTGTTCCCTTGCAAGTATACTTAAAAACTTATTCGTCCGTAAAGAACACCATAAAAAAAGGGATTTGGCACTCCAGGAATGAACGAAAAGTGGAACCATAGCTTCCTTAACGTCTACGCACGGAACCATGGTTTTAATTTTTTTGATTTGATTTAATTCCAATCGATTCGATTTAATTCGATTCCAATCGATTCTATTCTATTCCGGTCGATTTTATTACATCCCAATGGACCAAGGTTAGTAAAAGGGAGGTTGCATGGTAACTCTTGACATTGACAGAATGAAATATGACGTGTCACGTCACCCAGGGGGTCAATTTTACGAATTGTTTGAAAACAAAATAGGTTTTGCGGTTTGGAGAATATATTTTGTTGTTAAATATCGTTAGTGCTTTAGTTTATCTTAATATCTTGAGATATAATATGTCTATAGATATTATTGAGTGATTTTTAGTATACAACTTGGACCCAAAACTCTTATACAAGTGTTAAGATACATTTAACGTGGTTGTGTCTTACTGGATTTTATTTCTGCTGTATTATATAGTAAAGGTAACCTTGGGATTAATGCAGGAAAAACATAACTTAATTCAATTTTTTTATTGATTCATATGATTGGTGGAAATATTTGTAGTATAGCTATCTGCAAATATAATTCAAAAAATTCCAAAAAGGATGGAAGGAATCGAATGTTTTTTACATTTCCAAAAAATGTAAAAATTCAAAAGCAATGGATGAGCAAGTGTCTTAAGAAGGATAAGTGGTCCTGTTTTAATAAAAGAGTTTGTAGTATACACTTTCGCATGGACGATTATGAGGATGATTTAAAAGCTAAACTATTAAACATACAACCTAAAAATCTGAAAAAGATCGTAAGTAGGCATAGTCATTTAAATGTTCAGTAAAGATGTATTAATTCACTGATTTTGATTTTTATAATTTACTGTTCATTATGTACAACTTAAAAGGTATCTATTTAATGGAATCATGTTTTAATATTTTTTATATTCTATTACATAATCCAGTAATGTAATCAGATATTCCTTAAATATATTGAAGTTAAGGGAAAAACTACAATTTCTGATATATAAATCTTTAGTTGAATCTCGTTTTCAGCATGGTTTACTTGTTTGGAGGAATTTATAATAATCCACTACATGCATTATCCGAGGTAAGTGATTTGTGCATTATCCTCAATTCAAAATAATTTAAAAAAAAGTAAATTGTATTTAACCCATTATTAATATAGTATATTAACATGTTTTACATTTTACCTACTGTCGTTGCAGTCCCTTTACTTTTGTCTTGTCCTAGCGATAAGAAAGCTAGGCTTCCAAAAATTGGATCAGCTTTCACAAGTTTTCAGATACAAAGCTGGTCATTTTTGGTATATTTATATGATGAGTAAGATGGATTTGATAAGTTCGATATTCGGTTTGTAATACGTTTAGAGTAGAAATTAACACAACCAAATTTTTCAAATTGTTTTATCATTAATATAATAAAGTTAATATAATAATATTTACCAAAAATCTATTTAGGCAATTATCAGGTTGCTAGATGCAATAAAATGATGTTTTAAGTTTTAATTCTTACCTTATAAACAAAGTCCAATCCCGCATAAAGAGCTTCGTGGTAGAATTCCACAGCTTTAAAGAACAATTCCCCTAAAATGGCAACTAAGTCTGTGAAACATTGTTCGTCTGGTTTGATTTTAAATGCGAAATTGGCACTGTTCATGTCAACTCCTTCATACGCCACGGCTAGAAAGTTGCAACATGCTGCTAGAAATTGTAAGTTGCTTTTACCTCTCTCGCCAAACGCGATTCCTGTCATTAAATTAATGTTTTTGGATATGACAGTTTTCCTTCCTATGGCCGCCATTTTTAGCAGAATCACGGCTGCTATTTCATCTTCTACTGTCGTACTTACTCTTTGGGTGACTATTTGCCACAATGTGTCAATGACACTGTTGTCTAGTGTTCCTTTGGTTACCCAATCAGAGATTATGTCTTGAAGATCGGGTAAATTCGTAGCGGGGAGTGTCTTGACGAGACGCATGAGACGTTGGACAACAATAGTGCAGTGGTCGCTAAAATTATAGAAAATTATTTTAGTAAAGTTACAGTACGGCAAAACAATAAAGAGAAGCGACATGAGAAAATGGTGGTCCGTTATTATTATCCGTTATTAATTTTATAATCGTTCAAGATCAAATTTAAACTTCATTGATTTATCGATACATAGAAATTTCTGCTTCTTCTTTTGTAAACTTTACATTATACACTGTTTCTTTTGTGTACTGACTTAACTTGTTTCATGCATTAGAATGTTCTCGATACTTTACTCAGTATTTTTACTGCAATTTTTGCGAAGAACATGTCCGCAGTAATGAAACTATTAATGTTATGTAATAATATATACGATCGAATAATCGGGAAGGGCTGAAAGAAAATATATGTAAGAGTGTGGTGAGATCTGAGTTGGTGTATGGAGGTGAACTGTAAACTGTAGGAAGGGTTCATAAAAAGAAGATGGAGGTAGAAATGAAAATGTTATGGTGGATGTTGGGTAAGAATAAAAGGGACAAGATCAGAAACGATGTAAAAATAGCCGGAGTGACAATCTCAAAAAAGGTTAAGAGCAAGAGCAATGGTTTGGTTACGTCCAACGTAGAAATGAGAACTATGTGGGACGAAGGATAGTTGTTGAAATTGAGGGAAAGACAGGTAGAGGAAAACCAAGGATGAATGGTAGGATTGTGTGGAAGAGGACTTGAGAGAGAAAGGTTTAAATGAAGAAGACACGATGATCAGCAATGTGTGATGAAGAAGAGTAAGGAACAGCGACCCCTGAAAAGGGGAAAGCTGAGGAGGGAGAAGAAGAATATAAAAGCTAGGAAAATTATAAAATATAAAAAAATAAATGTAGATATAGGCAATATTGTAGCGGTGGATTCTGAAGATAAATATGATTAGTGTTTGATTTTTGTTCCTTTTCCATAGGAAAATGTCAATAAACCTAAGCAAAAGAAAATAAAAGATTTTGAATATTTTCATATGTTTACTCGTTAAAATACTTACTTTAGGGTCGTAGAATCAGACAACAAATATACAGTTTTGAACGCAGCAACGATGGCGTCTTTTCGTTCTTGTTCAGTTCTTTGCATTATCCTTAACATTGCTAAAAAAAGTTATTTTAGTGAGTAATTTTCGGCCCAAAGGAAACAAAAAGCATCGAGTAAAAAAAATTCATCCCATAGTTAAAGTATTTTAAGCCATTTTATTTAATGTGTACTTGAAAGCTTTTGTTGAAAATTTTGCTTTTAAATTTATGGGGTACATTATGTATTATATACTATGTATGAGATATATAAGCATGATATTAATTCCTCGCACAAATAAATGCCAAACTAAATTTGTGTTCAAATTTTCGTTCACTAAAATGTCATTTTTTTTATAAACGTTGATCAAAAACCAAAGTCATGAATTGAAGGTTGTTAATACTTTACTGTAAGGGTAATGTTACGTATTAACTGTGACACAACTACTGATTAAATATGTAAAACATAAAGTAACTTAATAATATTTAGGTAATGTAAGGAACAATAACTGTCAATGTATAGCCTTTCCTACCTAAATTTCAACCTAATTCTCTGTCAGAATAAATTTAATGCATCTTGTTCTTAAAAATGAGAGTCGTACGAGCCCGAAAGGCTAGATCCTATATCAAATATAAAGGGAATTTTATCTTCCAAGATTCATCGGAACCAATAGGATTCTACAATGAATAACTATTTTAGATAGTTATTAAATCAAAAATAAAATAAAACCGTCTATAATAGTATCTGTTAAATCTTACATTGACGTATCTGATCAAAAAGCTTCCTAGAATAATCCCATCAGACGTTCTATAAAATGGTATCGGAAAGTTTAAATGGAGTTATTGGCAAATACAGCCGTAGTGAATGCTTTAAATGTGCACAACAAAGCTTTGAACAAAAAAAAATGGATGTAACACAATTTCGCGAAGAATTAGTGACTGCCATTTGCAAAGATTGTAGCATTTGCAATTTCATTGATTTTTTTGGTATATACTGGAATCCCCTCGTATATGTAATATATTTAAATCCCCTATTATATGTATTAAAGTAACGAATAATGATTTTAGTGTATTTTATTTGCTAATCGTACGAGTTAAGACCAAAATATATTTCAATTTCTTTTTAGGCGGCTCGAGTTAATATAAACCATCTTAGAGTTGTTTATTTATTTCGCAGCTGCGTATGTGCCCGATACTGCGTTTTCAAATTAATTTTAATTGCGACTTAATTCCCGTTTGTGTTTTATTTATACTAAATGCTTTGTTTATTCCAACTCATGTGAATTAATTTTCAAGATAATTTCACATTTTGTTGTACATAATAGTAATTGCTTTCGTTAAAATTTAAAAATTGTAACATTTAAAATTGTAAATTTTAGGTTCTGAGTTTAGCTGTCATTTAAAAAATTTCTGTTTTAAATTTAATGTTAACATAAGACAGCTCGCTTTATTATTTTCGATATTGATTTGTTTTGTTTTTTTTTAAAGGTAACCCTCTTTTAAAGGTAACTGTTTGTGGTGACACAACAATAAATGTTAAATTTTTTTTAACATTTTGTTTATTTTTTTAACTAACCCTTTTTGAGTCTCGTTTGAAAAAGATATGTTTTGCATTTCTAATAATTATTTTCCTAGTTACAACTAGTAGTTCTAATGGTTATAATTAGGCACCTCGAAGTGGCGTCCTTTTTAAATTACTAAAGATGTTTCCTGTTTCTTTCCTGTGTTTTGTTTTGTTTGTTCCAAGAGATTTATGACCCTTTCTTCCATATTTTTGTAGTTTCCCCAATCCAACCACTTTGCCATTTTCATCCACGACCCCAGCTTTCCTAACAAACACTGAGTGCCGTTCGCATGTTTCGATTATTTTGCTTGCCCTATCTCCACCCCAATAGTTTCTGCCCCCAACTTTCACCCCCAATAGTAATACCCCATGTGGTAGGCAAAATATTTTCGTTACAAGATTGTTTAGAATTCACGGAAAATAATAAAAAGTGGCAACATTGTGCGCCATTCCCGGTACCGGCATTTGTAGCGACGCACCGCTGCGAGGGAAGGGGGGAGACGATGAACACCTAGAAACCATAGACAATGCCTTCCATTTTAAGTTCAGTTTTAAATAGTTTTTATATGTATTTACCACAGAAATAAAGTGCATTTTACAATCACTTTTCTTAAGTTAGTCGAAGTTAATAATTTCCTCAACAAGATAATGATGTTACAAAACCTTTACAAACACACCATAGGCTGGAAGAATCAGACAAAAGAAAATGCATCTAAGAATTTCAAACATTGCAACACTAGGTGTACCGGTACTAAATGTAGAGAAAAATAAAACACATAATGTATATTTACAATAATTTGTTTAGATGTTTGCTTATGTTTTTTCTTAATAATGTTTCATAAATATTGTGTATCAATTTCAATATATATATATATATATATATATTATATATATATATATATATATATATATATATATATATATATATAGGCTATGGGTAATGACATTATGAAAAGTCGTCTAGGTGAACTGCGTGATCAAAAATAAACACACCCTACAAAGCCCTTTTTAAATAAAAAAAATGTCATTATATGAATTAACACATACATATAGAGCATTTTATTAAAAAACATGAAAAAAAGTGGCCAGGCTGTGACAACTTATGCGGAGAAATAGGCCGAGGAGTTAAAGTGTTAAAATATGTCTTATCTTTAAAATTAGTGCCATGAAACGACAAGAAATGACAGGGACGAAAACATATCAATATTTCCAACGAAGAGAATTCTAGCCAGTGTACATACCGAATATTTTCTTATAAAAATTAACAGATTATATATTCATATTTCACGTTTTATTGTTGACTCTACAGTAGTAGAGAGAATAATAGGTATTGTCTGGGTACTTTCCATTTTCCACTGTCTTCTATTTGAATTTCCAAATCCCTGTACTTTGCGATTTTTTCGTTCTGTTTAACACGAAGATTATTGTTGTTGGGTATCGCCACATCAATTAATGTTGTTTGTCTCTTTAGTTTATTAACTAGTATGAGATCTGGTCTATTATGTGCGACTGTTTGGTCTGTGAGCACCGTGTGATCCCAGTATAGCTTGTAGTTGTCGTTCTCAAGTATACTCTCAGGAACATATTGATAATATGGAAGATGGTTTGTTTGAAGAAGTCCCAGTTTGATAGCTATCTCTTGATGAAGGATCTTTTCTACTGAGTCGTGCCGTTCCTTATATTCAGTTGCAGCAAATGCCTGATAGCCCCCGGTATGATTGAGCTTGGCATCCATATTGGCATTTGTCATTTTGGACCTGAGGGTCTTTGACGATATATTTCAGGTAATTTTTGGTTGGTATAACCTGATTCTGAATGGCGAGTAATGAACCTTTTGTTTCAGGGAACATCTTTCCTGATGTCAGCCAATAGTTCGACGCTATATTGTCGACATAGTCTTGACTGACTTCATTCGGATGTCGCCCGTGCAGAGGTTTACCCATCCAGGTGCGCATTTTTTCGTTCTTAGTAAGATGGTTTATGCGCATTTCTTGTTCCCTCAGGTTGATCGGTGTTGTGTCATCTACTGCGAAAATCGCGCGATGAAGAGTAGATGTCTCCGCCTGCGCCTGAAAATAAGTTCTTAAATTAGTAATCTGCTTTTCTAATTGCTCGCTTATATCAATAAGTCCTCGTCCTCCTAAATACCGCGGTAATGTCGTTCTTTCTACTGCACTTCGAGGATGGTGTTTTTGTGCCTTTGTGAGGTGTGTTCGTACTTTTCTCTGAAGAGTTTCTATATCCGTTTTAGTCCACTTAATAATACCAAATGAGTAGCTAAGCGCGGAAAATGCATAGGTGTTTAATGCCTTAATAACACATTTTTACTATTAAGATGTGAGCGGAGTAGCTGTTTTACCCTTCGTATGAACTCTGATTTTAATTCGATTTTCATTTGTTTGTGGTCAATTTTCCGCGCTTGCTTTACTCCTACATATTTATACATGTCATTTTCGCCCATAGCCTCGATGTTTTGGCCATTTTGCATATCGAATCCACCGGGCTGAACCTTTCCCTTAACTATATTTAAAACACGACATTTGTCTAACCCAAAGTGCATACTGATATTATTTGAAAAAGTTTCCACAGTTTTTAGCATTTGATCTAAGTGATTTCGAGTGGAAGCCATTAGTTTCAAATCATCCATATACAACAGATGATTAAGCTTCGTCACTACAGTGTTGTTTTTAATGCTAAAACCTGAGTCAGTAGAGTTCAATAGCTGGGATAGTGGGTTCATCGCTAGACAGAACCACAAGGAACTCAGCGAGTCTCCTTGGAATAGGCCGCGGTTAATTGCGATATTTTCCGTTTCGATATTGTTTTCACCAGGTATTTGGAGGTGAATTTTAGTCTTATCTGTCATTATATGTCTTAAGAAGGTCACTATATTATCATCGACTTTATGTATTCTTAATATATCTACTAACCATTCATGCGGTACTTAGTCAAAGGCTTTCTTCTAGTCAATAAAGGCAGTAAAGAGGTTCCTTTTTTTGGTGTATGCCTGGTTAGAAATGACTGAGTCGATACTTAGTTGTTCTTTGCAACTCATGGAGTTCTTAGCGCATCCTTTCTGTTGAGGTTCTATGATATTGTTTAGAGCGCAGTGTTGGTAGATACGCTGGGCTACACAGGATGTGACCAATTCATACAGAGTTGGAAGACATGTAATTGGGCGGTATTTGGCTGGATCTTGGGTAATATTTTGATCCTTAGGTATTAAATAAGTTGTTCCCTGAGTTAAGAATGATGGTATTTTCTGCGGATTAGAAATAACACGATTAATTAATGTTGACAGGCACTCATGAGCACTCCAGAACTTCTTAAGCCAGAAGTTTTGAACTCCGTCTGGTCCAGGGGATTTCCAGTTATGAATCTCTTTGATGATATTAGAGACTTCTTCTGTGGTGAAGGGTTCATAAACAGTTGTGCGGTAGTGTTGACAGCTGTGCGTCGTATCTTCTATCCATCCAGCATTTGTGTTAAGAGCAGCTGGTGTGGAAAGTTGATTTCCCCAAAACTCCTGAATGTCTTCTTGGCTTGGGTATGATTTATTGGCACTTTCGACAGTGGAATTAAGTTTCTGATAGAATGCCTTCTCGGCATGCTCGAAAAGCGCATTGTCACGTTTCCGGCTGTTACTAACCTTGTACCTCCTTAGTCGTCCTGAATAAACGGAGAGTTTTTATTTTAATGTATCCAGGCACTGATGGGCTGTGATGTTTACTGGATCATATTGCGAGTGTCTTGCAGTGCTTAGCATTATTTGATCAGCTCTTTTAATGACTTTTCTACTTGTTCCTCGTATATATTCTGCCATTTGACCAATGTCCCTACGAAATAATTCAATCTTGTTTAGAAGCCGTTTCTCCCAGGGTGCAACGCTGTTATCAGTCCTTCCGGCATTGATACACCGTCGTGTTCTGATCTTAATTCCCATTACATTTTCTGTTGCTGTTGCTGCACAGTAAATAAGCATATGCAAATATTCCAGCGTATGGGCTTCTACGACGTAATTGGGTAGGACTTCGATATTTATAATTTGTAACAGAGCACCTAGTTTTTTAGAAGAGTTTATTTTTGGTAGCGGTGGTCTGCTAAGTGGATTTGTTGTTAAGAAGTGCAACTTCTTAAACCGGACATTATTTGTATTGCCGAATCCTGGATTAAACTCACAATTCCTCACTCCTCTGTTAATATAAATGGATATACAATATATCGTAAAGACAGAGAAAATTGTGTAGGTGGCGGTGTATGTATTTATTTATCTAATATTATTACCACATCTTTTAAAATTAACATTAAGCTGTAGATGCAATCAATAACAATAACATTACTGGAATAGATACAATTCACTTACTTATCTGTTACTAAAAATTATTTTTGCCTTAATTTAGTATGTATATATCGTCCACCTACTACACTACTTGCACACTATAATGTCTTCTTCACAAAACTTGAAGAACTATCATCTCTTGATAATCTTATCATTACTGGAGATTTTAATTTCCCAGAGATCACTTGGCCAATAACTTCATTATCTGACGCCGAAAATGCTCATCATTTATTTAAAAGCTTTGTAGTAAATTCAAACCTGATACAACTCATTACAGAACCTACTAGATTTAGAAGTAATAACCAACCTTCTACTTTAGATCTAGTGCTTATTAATGACGAACAGCCGATTTCATTTCTCGAAGTCAGTTCTTCTATAGGAAAGTCAGATCATGCAGTTATAACGGCTCACATCCAGTTCAATCAAATGAACAAAAACTGACACCTGGCAGTAGGTATAAAATGCACATCCATGATAATGGAGTACAATAATTTATGTTTAGGGTCGCTGCCTGGGGATCGCCAGGGCACGTCTGGAGCCGGCGCTGGACGTGACAGCATGCGGGACGTCGGTGGCAGGGTGTTGAGGAGGCGGGCTCCTGTCATACAATCAGCTACAGCCCAACAACAACAACAGCAAGAACAACCACAAGCGAGCCAAACAACAACAAGAGCTCCACTCGCTGAAGGTGCTGCGCTGGAACATCAGCCGGCGCTCACCCAAGCGGGACGACCGAGGCAGCGCATGAAATGAACTGCGTCCATAAATGAGAATATTTCGCGCTTCTATTACCAGGTGACAATCCTCGGTCAAGAAACGATCGGGTATCGACAAAATCTCTATGCCGAATTTTGCAGGGAGTACCCAGAAATTCAAGTAACTGAACAACGAGTTGATGATCAATACAGGGTAATTATAAGAAATAATCTTATCCCAGAGGCTAGACGCAATACCATCAGAAGCGAAGTCGATCGGGAGATTAATCACCAAGAGGTAAATGTAGATCAAGTCCCTAATGAAATACATGAGCAGATTCCTGAGCTTACCATACAAGAAACTCAACCTGATAATACACTACAGGACAACAACGAGTTACGCGATACTCTGGTAAGCGAAATGGCACGAGCTGTACAAGAGTTTAATGGAACAAATCCACTTAGCAGACCACCGCTACCAAAAATAAACTCTTCTAAAAAACTAGGTGCTCTGTTACAAATTATAAATACCGAAGTCCTACCCAATTACGTCGTAGAAGCCCATACGCTGGAATATTTGCATATGCTTATTTACTGTGCAGCAACAGCAACAGATAATGTAATGGGAATTAAGATCAGAACACGACGGGGTATCAATGCCGGAAGGACTGATAACAGAGTTGCACCCTGAGAGAAACGGCTTCTAAACAAGATTGAATTATTTCGTAGGGACATTGGTCAAATGACAGAATATATACGAGGAACAACAAGTAGAAAAGTCATTAAAAGAGCTGATCAAATAATGCTAAGCACTGCAAGACACTCGCAATATGTTGCACATACAAATTCGTCAAACTTAGCGGAAAGTGAATCTAAATTAGTATATAGAAATAGCCAGTCATTAAATTTGTAGGTAGAAAAATTATACACGAAATTTCGTGATTCTAAGAGTACCATTGATGTATTTAATAGTTAAATCATGTTCGCCGTTAATTTTGCGAGTTTATAGCTCACTTCAGAGTTCTTTTAAATGTACTTGTTGGATGGGCGTCTTGTCGTCAATTATTGAGAATTTTTCAGGGTCTTTGTTCTCCAGAAGTTTGGCTTTATTTCTCAGAATATCGTTAACGTGGTATTCCGAACCCATTACTACCATTCTTCACGATTGACCTATCATTCGGGGAAATCGTTGGTTTGCTTTGCCGACTCTGTAGAAGGTGATTTGCTTTTCCTGGCAGCCAACAGACTTAACACAAGCTTAACTTTATTCGCGTCGTCACCTTTTCTGCGTTGTCCATCCGCAGAGAAAGATTCTGTTACGCCTCTAATTAGAATATTTTTAGCAAGTGTTATGCGATCTACAGCTTCGTTGGCAATATTATACGTGAATTCGGTAGACCTAAATAAATACATCTGGCTGAGCTTATTGTTTAACTCAGTTATTTTATTATCAAAATCATCAATTTTCATACGAATTTCCATTTTAAAATCTAGCAGAAGATCTTTTATTTCTGAAATATTAGAAATATTGGAGCTGCAAGAGTTACAAAGTATGCTCAGTCCACGCATGTTCTGTGGGTTACGCGATCCTCCGAAGAAAGGTAGGTGCATGTGATATGTATTTGTCGCTTACATCCATCGCACTGGAGTTTGCGGTCAGCTGCCGCTATGGTTTTCGAGCAGTTCGAACAAAAAGAGGTGAACAGCATGGTATGGTTTTTCGTGTATGTAATTAGTATTTGGTTAAGTGGAATAAACATGCGATTTCATTGAAGCACCATATATTTTGTTAAATATTAATTGTCTATCTACCATAAGTATTATGTGTCATCATGCTGTTCTCAAATATATAAAAGAGATATAAAACCTTCTTTGGAGTTATTAAAAACAGAAATTGGTTGAAATACAGTATGTACATTACTTTTTGTACACATTATACTGGCTGTTACCAAATAAAGGTAACACCGTCTCAAGGATAAATAAAAAATTGTAAAATAATTGGAGTTTGCTTAGTAAAAATTTTTTGTAACGTTATCTGTTTTCAACATGAAGGGCGTCGAAGAAAAAAATATTTACACATTTTTTACGATTTTGCCGAAACTACTGACAACATTGTAATAAAATTGTATACAAATATGTTTTGGAAGCTGATACATCTCATGAATTTGTTTTTATATCTGACTCGCATGGACAGCGCTAGTTACAAGGTTCACACCAAATATTATTGAACAAAATATTCCGTTTTCGGAATATTTTGATTTGAAAATTATGGAGTAATAACCGATTCTAGTAAATTGTAACATTAATTTTTCTTCAACGCACTTTATCTTGAAAACGGATACGGTTACAAAGATTTTTTACTAAGCAAACTCAAATTACTTTTCAGTTTTTTATTTATTCTAGAGACGGTTTATTCTGGAAACACCCTGTATAGCTATGATTCCCACTAGACCTTTTATTCAACTTGTGTTATCAACTAAACTAAAATATTAAAAATGTGCCTTTTATAACAATTAACAATACCTAGTACTCCATCGGATGATCTATCAATGTTGAACTGATACGCAGCAACGAAAAACTCGATAACTTCATGCATATCACTCACAGATGTCGTTTCTAATAATTCTATACATACATCGATGGCTTCGTCTATCGCCTGAAGAAATTCAACGCATTGATGTAGAAAGTCAACTTTCGATGATAAATTTTCAATTTGTTTTAAGTCGTCTGCTGTAACATTGACGAATTCGCGGTTCTCTAACTGACCCACTACTTTGGACACGTCGAAGAATATGGTGTAGAACACGCCCATATAAAATTCTACATCTCCTATGGCATTTCTCTCCCTAAAAAATTATAGAAAATGTAAGATATTCAAAATAGACAACCAAGTGTTATCAAAAACATCGCAATTTTATTCGCTCTGTGCAGCTGAACAAGTGTCGCCCTGTATTGGTTATTATATTATCACTATAAGGTTTACACCATTGAAAACCTTTATAAATATGAGTAATAAAATCAAAAATTTTAAATTATCGTAAATATTGTCTGTTTATTAATTATATATATATTATATATATATATATATATATATATATATATATATATATATATATATATATTATATATATATATATATATATATATATATATATAAACGAATTATCAGAGAAGCCATTGAAATAGAAAAACAAGAAAATAATTTAAATTCTCGAGACGATGCCCAAAGATTGCCAAAAACATGGAAACCAATTATCCCGAAGAATAACGCAAGAACGGAATCGACCAAGACCCCGCCCACTGACCTGCGCACTGGACCAATTACAAGAGCGGACGCAACGCAGTCAGTGGGCGGGGTCTTGGTCGATTCCGTTCTTGCGTTATTCTTCGGGATAATTGGTTTCCATGTTTTTGGCAATCTTTGGGCATCGTCTCGAGAATTTAAATTATTTTCTTGTTTTTCTATTTCAATGGCTTCTCTGATAATTCGTTTCCTCTTGTTTTCGACATTCGCTAAGATTACCGTATGTTTGAGGTCAATTTTGTGTCCTGTAGCTAAAGAATGCTGGGCTAGGGATGACGTCGTTTCTTTTCGTTCGATGGCATTGCGATGTTCTTCTTGTCTTACTTGGATCCTTCTATTTGTCTGTCCAATATAGGCTCTATCGCATTCTCCACAGGGAATTTTGTATACTCCTTGGTTTTCTAGGGGAATCTTTGTCTTGGCAGATGGTAATATGTTTGCGATTTTTCTATCGGTGTTGAAGACAGTCTCTATTTTGTGTTTTCTCAGGACCCTGCTTATCTTCTCTGTTGTGCCTTTAATATACGGTAGAGTGGTTTTGGCAATCGGTTTTTCGTCTTCTTTTATTTATTTCTTTTGTTGTTTTTTGTGGTCGTCGTGCCTTTTCGATTCTGTGTGTGGAAAAGCCGTTGTTTTTTAACGCTTTTGTAACTTTCTGCATTTCTTCTTTCTTGTGTTCTTCGTCTGTTAGTCGTTCAGATCTTATAGTCAGAGTTTTTATGACTGAATTCAATTGTGCAGGATGGTGGTGTGAATCTGCATGTAGGTATCTGTCAGTGTGAGTTGGTTTTCGATACACTGTATATCCAATGTTGCCGTTTTCTTTCTTTATTATTAAGACGTCTAGGAAAGGTAGTTGTTGATTACTTTCTAATTCCATCGTAAACTTGATCTTGGGATGGATACTGTTAATGTATTCTAGAAATGCAGTAAGTTTGCCTACTCCATGTGTCCATATGATGAAAGTGTCGTCCACATATCTAAGCCATAGTTTGGGTTTATATTCTGCTGTTCTTATTGCCCGTTCCTCTATGTCTTGCATAAAAAGATTTGCTATCACGGGAGATAGCGGTGAACCCATCGGTGCCCCTTCAACTTGTTTGTACCGTTGATCACCATATATAAAATATGTGTTGTTCAAGCAGTGTCTCGTCAAATTTAGGGTATCTTGCGGTACTGGGTATTTTCTGCTTAAATTTCCAAGGATCATTGATGAGAAGGTTGGTGAAAGTGATGAAAACAACTTGAACTTTTCTAACAAGTGTCCCGGCCCAAAGAGTAACCATCTTTATACGGCTCGATGAAGGTGGCTGCATTTCTAACGTAGGAATCAGCTCTTCTGCGCAAGGGTGTAGTTTTCAGTCAGGAACCTTGCCACGTGGTTGTTAACGGTGACCGATGGAGCTCCCACTATTGGTCGTAGTGGTAATCCATCCTTCCCGGTGATACTTTTGGTAGATATTTAGCCGTTACCAGTTTTGGACATCTGGGATGATTTTTTTCCGTTGGGAATTAGTTGAAGAATAATGATGGTTCTTTATTAAATTAGATGTTTGTATTTTTGCTTTTGTTTTTTTTTTTTCTAGATATGTTGTCGGGGTCAGTCGAGTATCTCTCTCGTAGATGGATCGTCCTAGAAATACCTTTTCATCTTTTGATCGTTGTCTATGACATTCATAACCACCGTAGGCATTGCCTTTATCAGCTGGAAGTCACAATGATTTCTCTTATTTTTGCGACAGTAGGAATTTAATGCCCCTTTTTCCTCGGTGTTAGTTTTCGTTTTGGCGGTTTAGCTGTTGTAATATGCTGACAACGTCTTGGCGTATAGTCTCGGCCGACGAGGACTATACGCCATTATATATATATATATATATATATATATATAATATATTTTTATATATTATATTAGTTATGATTTTGAGGGATTGCAGATCAGTTTATTTGGCCACAAGACAAAGAAAACTCTTTGACTTATGGTCAAGCTTAGAATTTTATTAATTCTTTTTCAAAACATCTATAAAAAGAAATATAAATTAACTAGTTAAAATTGTTAATTGTCTTACTTACTAGTCGTGAGATTACAGTTGTTAATATTGTACTCTACAAAACAAACCATTATAAATATATTAAAATTAAAAAAAAAATTAATATATTTTTAATGGTTTGTTTTGTAGAGTACAATATTAACAACTGTAATCTCACGACTAGTAAGTAAGACAATTAATAATTTTAACTAGTTAATTTATATTTCTTTTTATAGATGTCTTGAAAAAGAATTAAATAAAATTCGAAAGCTTGACAGTAAGTCAAAGAGTTTTCTTTGTCTTGTAGGCCAAATAAACTGACTGCATCCTCAAAAATCATAACTTATATTTAAATCAACAGTCAAGAATACCACCATCATATATATATATATATATATATATATATATATATATATATATATAAATTTTATCGTAGTATTTATGTATTACAAATAGATTTGTTGGCAGTTCAAAATTTGTATATTTTTAAAAACACATAAGTTGGATTTATATATAATAAACATTTTACTAGGTTATTATATATTTTTTGAACAATTTATTATTTATTATTATCATCCCGGTTTTTTATAGCGTTCTCCGCCTTCCGGTTCCCAGTTTCCAGCTACGTCGGTCATTCCATTCGCCAGGGTGAAGGTTTCTTTCCGACATTGCCTTCTGAATGCCGCCCAGCCAGGATTGTTTTGGCCTTCCTCTCTTCCTTCTTTCCCTTGGAGTCCATTTTAAATTTGTTGGCAGCCTGTCGTCGTCCATTCTTTTCACATAACCATACCAGATCAGTTGTCTCCTTTGAATTTCGTCAATGATGGTTGACTTGACTCCCATTATATTTCTAATATGGTCATTTTGTATTCTATCAAGCCTTGATTTTCTAGCTGAGCTTCTCCAGAAGTCCATTTTCAATGCAAGTAGGCGTCGCTCAAGGGATTTAGTAAGTTGCCATGTTTCGCATCCATATAGCACTATACTTTTAAAGATGGAGTTGAAACTTTCTTTGATTTGATAGTTCTTTTGACCATAGCATCGGGTTTAGGCATCCTATCAACCTTTTTTCTTTCACGATTCTTTGCTCTATCTCTTTTTCGGTGCGCCCACTCTTGTTGATTGTTGTTCTCAAATATATATATATATATATATATATATATATATATATATATATATATATATATATATATATATATATATATAAGAAATACTGGATATTATTGACTGTCGATATAAACAAATAACACAGTTTATTAGGGTTGCAGTCAAAATATTGGCCGGGATGTTAAAAAAACACTCTTTTGACAAAAGCTCGACAAAAAAGTCAAAGAGTGTTTTTTTAACATCCCGGCCAATATTTTGACTGCAACCCTAATAAACTGTGTTATTTGTATATATATATATATATATATATATATATATATATATATATATATATATATATATATTCCTCACAGTTCTTGATTGTTTCATGACCATTAGATCTTCTACTTCATTCCCGATGCATAAGTATTGCGTTTTGTTTCTATTTACAGAGAGGCCCCATTCTTCATATGTTTTACACAACCGTCTCGTCATGAATTCTAAATCTTCCTTGTCTGCTGCCACTACTACTTGGTCGTCCGCAAAATGTAGAGTGTATAATGTTGTATCGTCGTCAAGTTGGATCCCCATTCCAGAACAGGATCTTCTCCAGTGTTTTAGTGCTTCATTTAAATAGATCTTAAATAGTATTGGAGAAAGGCAACAGCAATATTTTGAACAATAATATTTAATTATAAAAACAATTTATATATTATATTAATTTATATAATTAGGGTTTAATTGCACTAAAAACGAATTCTAGTAATTATTTCAATATTGATTTTTTGAGATCATAATACTAACCACACTTTTGCAATTTTAAATCCAGATTTGCTGTTGTACATTATATAAATTATACAGTGCGTTAAGTTTTTGATTAGGCATTGCACACTATACGGAGCGCTAAAATCGGCAACGTTGCAAATGTTCGTTCTCCGACCCGAGACTATCTGCACCGACAGAAAATCATTTTAGTTTAGTAACTCACAACAACGTTTGGGATGTACTTCTCTGTCGTCCGATCTCATGTTTCATTACGTATAGCCGATTTTAATAGTAGAAAATTCGATAAAAATGCACTGACCTAATCGGTGCATTGTTATCGATTTTTATTAATGTGAAAATTTTTTTGTGGTTGAATTAAAAATAAAAGCGTTTTCTTTAAAAAGATAAAATAAAAAATATACTCTTATTGAAAATTAAAATATTATTCCTAATAAAATAAAAAATAATTATTTATGACCTACAGAAATGGTTCAAATAGTTGACTTTCTACGGCTGAACAGTACCCCAATCTGTCATAAAAACTTCTGCGAACAGATGAAAGAGTTTCTGCTGTAACAGAATTGGAGACTTCTCTTATTCGATTTTTTAATTCATCCAAATTTTGGGCTCTAGCCTCAGGATGATCGTAGATAATGCTTTTTAA